TCGTTGCTCTGCTGCTCCTGCACACGCATGCCCGAGGATGGAGCCCACAACCCAGGCACGTGCCCTTGACCAGAATCGAACCCGGGACCCTTCAGTCCGAAGGCCGACGCTCTATCCACTGAGCACACCAGCCGCCTAGGGCAGGTGGGGTGGTTGTAAGGACTGAGCTCTCCAGGCGGAAGCACTTCTATGTTAAGTGGGGATCAGTCACAGGGCTCCCATGTCGGTGACTGATAATGTCGGGAGGTGTGGTTAATAAGTTAGATGAGGAGTGAAGAGGTGCCGCCGCCCCTTTAACTACGAGATCCTCCCGCCGGAGCACATACCTCTCAGGGCAGAAACGACCGCTCCAATGGTTTGCTCCAAGCAGCGCGTTAAATCCAGCATTTCCGGGGCGCGACCTGCCATCTCCCTCAGGGCTCCGCCTCCGGAAGGTTCTCCCTGCGCTGGCGGGTGGGAGCTTTTCTGTGGGAGTGAAGGCCGCGTTGGTGAGAGCAGGGACGAGCCCCATCTCCTCTCCTCCCCCCTAGCAAGAACGGGTGCCGTTCCCAGAGGAGGAAGAATTCTCATCTCATTTTAAACCCAATTCCCATCGCCCTGTTACAGGAAAACGGAATAAAACAACAGAACCACCGCCACCCATCGTCACAAAAGGTAAATGTATAAGATTGTTAAGAGTTTAATTTTATTTTATTTAAATAAAAAAAATGTCAAGCGACAAACACGTCTCTCTCTTCACACTGATTGTACGTATACCTGGTTTATACTCTCCATTCCCCTGTGGGTGAACATGCCTAGTTTATATATTTCTGCTCACGCCTGACACGGGAGTGACATACTCTGCCCGGCTCCCCTGTGCCTTCGCCTCCGCGCACACGGATCGGGAAACGCAGGGTTACAGCCTGTAGCGACTCTCCCAGCAAAGCTGAGCCCGGGGCGCCCGGACACAGAGCTCGCGACTGCGGGCCCCTGTCCACGCCCCGCTCACCCGCCAACACACCGGGCAACGCGCCAGCGTGGGGCCACCCGGCGAAGGGTCGGGACTGAAATCGGTGAGACTGACGGGAACCGAGGGGACAACACACACGACAGTGACACAGAGACGCCCGGAGCCTGGCTTACGGTTCTCCACTCGGCGAAGATGGTCTCCAGGCACCCGATCAGCGCCTCGGCCTTCGCGTGCAGCTGCTGGGCCGCCTGGAGGGAGAGGTCAGGCTGTTACACACGCGATTCCCCAGAAGCAGGACCCTGAGGACCCCCGGGACCGGGCGGGAGAGGCGGCCCGGCCGGGAGGTCGGAGACCAGCCCCGTTCCCGGGACGACAGTTCAGGGGGGCGAGCAGCAGGAGCCCCGGGCCCCTGACCGGCTCAGAGCGGGAGGCGGAGATGGTCTGACAAGCGTTAGGACGAGATCCCAGGGCAGACGCGTCTCTGGAACTCAGTCGGGACCGGACCTTCCCTCTCCCGAACCCTCCGTTCCCCGTCGTGACCTCAGCAAGGAAACCGGTGCAGAAACCATCACCCACGAAACCCGCGGAGGTGACGTGCTGGGCGCGGGCCCCGAGCGGACGGGACAGACCACCCGGCTCGGGCGCTGGACAGGACCAGCTGAGGGACCCC